TAAAACTCACGCCGGGCGCGTGTGCGTGCATGCCTAAGATCCCGAGAGGAGAATGGAGGAGAAGGGATTGCGGCGTGACCATCCCCCATGGGGGGTGATTTCTCGCTTTCTGTCTCTGTCTCTCTCTGTCTGTCTGGCGAGCGCACGCGCCCTATAGCAAAAAAACCTCTCCAAAAAAAAAAAAAATGGCCAGTCTCATGAAATCCTGGGAACCTTGTCAGAAATGGTTCTAGAAGGAGAGTCAGTGCCAAAGCTGGTGATGGAGTGGAGGAGCCCAAACAAAGGACTGTGCGTGATTCTTAGGCAAAAGGATTTGGGTTTTACTTCAGCGAGGTGACATGTTCAGTGTGATGGAAGCCCAGGTCTCTGATGAGGACCCACTCCCCATATACTCCGCCTGAGCTCTCCTCCTCTGGGGGTGGAGGAAGAGAAGGAAGCTGTGAACTCTCCCAGGACAATAGTCTTCATTTCACACCCCATCTGAACTCCACAGGACCCTTCACACTGCCCACTCATGTGTTTGTGGACCCCAGATTAAGAGTTCTCAGTTTTAAGAGGAAACAAATAATATCCTTAAAACTCAGGGAGCCTAGAGCTAGCAACTGGTGTAGTAGTTAAGACGCTAGACAAAGTTATGGTGGTTAAGGCATCGTCCCACATGGCTGACCGCAGTTCAAGTCCTGGCCCTGGCCTGCCAGGCATTTGTGTGTGTGTGTGTGTGTGCCTAAAATCCTGAGAGGAGAATGGAGAAGAAGGGATTGGGGGGGGGGGGATTTCCCACTTTCCCGCTCTCTGTCTCTGGCGAGCACAAGCACCCTATGGCAAAAACCTAAAATTAAAATTAATTTAAAAGAAAACTTGGGGTGCCTAAACTGCAGTGTGGTCATTGCCCATCGGTGGAGATAGAGCATGGGTGAGCTTTGAAGAGGAGCTTGGCTGATGGTAGGAGGAAACACGCAGGAAAACTCCAGACTTTTCACGGAAGCGTGACTCAGGCAGAAGCCAGAACGCAATCTTAGAAAGCCTTCCGCAGCGCGAGAGGTGGCACAGGCTCAGATTCGGCTCCAGAGCTGACCTTTCCCGAGAGGAAAGGTTGTTGGGGAATTCTAAGAAGCCTTTAGCTTTGCATAATGCAACACCGGTCCTCTGGGCAGGAAATGGCTCTGTGCACCATCACCGCTGAGAAGGAGACAGAAGTGCCAGAGTTATTGGCAGCCAAGGACAGCCTGGCCCTTTGCCCTGTGGCATTTGGGTTGGTTTTATGATGAATCTGGATTTGCTCTGCTCCTCTGTGAACCCCGTGACATTAAGACGTGAGACTGAGAACTCCTGGCCTGTGTATTTGCCACCTAATTAGAGCCCCGGGTTGTAAGTGCTTTGTGCTGAGATATGGTGTCTGTGCATTTAGGACTAGCCCAAGGCCTTCATCAGTGAGCCCCCTGAGCCCGGGGTCCAGCACATGTACATGTGCTTAGGGACAGTGGCACGGGAAACGGGTAACTGAGTTGCTTTACTTTGGAAGGCTGGGGCAGGTACCACCACGGGGTGTGGCCCTGGAGTTGGTTTTAGAAGCCCGCTACTCAGGCAGGGCACTGAGGGACGATGTGGGCATGTCCTCAGAGATCTGGGCCTTGGGGGGCTTCCTGCAGGAGGTTGGGGGCCAAGAGTGGAATGGAGGGTGGAGAAGGGGAGAAGAGCCTTCATTTGAGAGAATGCAGTGTTCACTAGGTGAAGGGGAGAGGAACAAAAACCTGCAGAGGCAAAGGTGTGTGCACGCATAAGCATCCTGGGTGCTGGTAAATGAGTAATTGGACGCGGAGAGGAAGGGACGTGCCTTCAAGGGGCATCTGAAAGACCGAAGCGCGGAGCGCGGCTTCAAGATTAGATGGACGATGGGATGTCAGGCAACGGCCCTGACATTTGCTAAGAGGGTGTTTCCAGTTTCTTTGATTTCTTGTAACGGAGCTGGCTCTGGGAGTTCGTGTGTGTGCGCATGTACATTTGCAGGGGTGGGGTGAGAAGCTGGGGGCAGGTACTCCTAGCGCCCTTCCAGAAGGGCCCTCTGGCCAGAGCAGCTGAGCTGCCCCTTTCTGGAGACAGAGCAGAGCCCGGTCCCTGCTGGCTGCTGAGTGAGCAGTGTGGCTTTGTCGTGAGGACACTTCGCTCTCTGCTTAGTTAGCAAGAGCCACTGGCTGGCCTGGTCTGCGGTTTCATTTGGAAAATAAGGGTAAAGATAGTTCCCCATCTCTATGGAGACTGCAAAGTTTAATTACTGATTAATAAAGTGTTGGAAGTTCCTTGGGGCCAGAGAGATGAGCACGTCTGTTATAATCACTCTGGAGTCCCAGCAGTGAGTGAGCTGCCCCAGCTCCATTTGGCTGAACATCCCAAGTGCTGAGTGCAGAATGGGGGTGCAAGGCTGAGCCCGTGCTCTGGATCTGGCTCTGTGAAAGCAGAGACCTCCACAACACGACAGGGATGAGTGTGCAGCCAGGGGATAAACAAAGCCCACGACCCAGGCAGGGCGCTGAGGGACAATGTGGGCGCATCATCAGAGATCTGGACTGAGGCAGGCGGGAGGCCCTCCTCCTTCCTGCAGGAGGTGGGAGGCCAAGAGTGGACTGTAGGTAGAGGAGGGGAGCAGAGCCTTCCTTCATCCTTGGGACAGAGGAGGGAAGGAGTGGGCCCAAGGGAAGGTGGGCGGCCCTGGGGGTGGACAGCGGGGGTAGGGGAGGACATTCCTAGCACCAACAGCTCACCTCCGGAAAAGTGCAGGTCAGTTTACTTGCAAGGATGAGGGAGGTGTAATCCTGAGGTCCAGAAATGGTGCGTGGGAGGAGTCCACAGAAGAGGATAGGCAGCCATGGGAGTGAGGTGGGCAGAGGAGTCTAGCCTGGGAAGAAGGTGCCTGAGCTGGCTGGCTAGGGTGAGGCGGGGGGAGGAGGTTCCTTAAGCACAGTGCTCCCGAGGTGCCAAGGCTCACCACGGCCAGAAGTAACACTGTGATACTGTTACTGCATTATCCTCTGGCCCAAGCTCCAGTGTGGCCCAACGCTGTTATCAAATCTTTTTTATTTTTGAACTTTTTGCCATTTTATTCATCACGGATTTTTTTCCCCTTTGGCATTCATTTAGATTTTGAAAAAGTACAGCCTTAAAACAGTATGTACTTTGATTGCTACATTTTTGGACGCCCCCTAATACCTTGTGCGCAGCTCACCTAGTCCCTACCCTGCATGGAGGGCTGTGCCTCAAGACTGCCACCCTGTCCTTGGGACTCTATTCCTACAAGTGCTGTCATTGTCAGTTGGAGACAGAGAACAGTGGTGAACCCTGAATGGACAATCAGTGTACCTGCCATGGCCTCGGACACGCCCCTGCCTCTCTCACAGGGTCTCCCCACACTGGGAAACCCTAAGCCACTCCCAGAGCTCAGTCCCTGTCTGCAGCTCTGCAGGGAATTTGGCAGAAGGCACAGAAATGGGTTGTGCTGAGACACCTGGACAGGAAGTCCTGTGGAGGGTCCGAGGAAGGGGACCCCCGGAAGCATGAGTAGAGGAGCAGGGAGTGGTGATGGGGAGAGGGGCCCCCTCCCCTAGACCTCTCTGGTCTCCCAGCTCGCCACTCTGCCTGGAAACCTGATCAGACAGCAAAACTCTGCTGGTCAGGGCCACCCAGGCCCCCGCAGCTGAGAGGCAGAACTGGTTACGATACTTCCTTCTCTCTGGCCCCCCACATGTTTCTTGACTTCTTGCATGTCAAACCCAGGGCAAACAACAAACTGTTCTCCAATCCACAACTAAATAAAAACCACTAAGTTCAGATCAGCCAGCAGGCCCTTACAGAGTAACGACCGTGTACCCAGACCCGATGCCATTCATTCATTTAGTCAGCAAATTTGGATGCAATGAACGAAACAAGTCCTTTTCTTTATGGAGTGTGCTGTGCTGTTTACAATGGAATTCCAAATCATTCCATCACGTAAGCTGGGAGGGCTTTCAGGTGAGGAACCCGAGGCACAGAGGAGTCAAGTAACCTGCCCAAAGCAACACAGCAAGACCAGGGCTGGATACCAGGAAATCTCTTGACTCTAAATCCTTAAGGAGGGTGGTGACCTCCAGGAAGGTTTTGTGAGGGTGTTAGTTATAGAATAGGCATCTCCCCAGATAAGGGGCCCAGGCCTCTCTCCTCCCAAGCAGGCTGAAATTCTGAGATCAGAGCGACACGGAGCTGGCGGGCCACAGTTCCCCATGGGATGGGGCAGCCCTCTTTCCGGACCTGTTTAGCCCTCCACTTGTCAGTGCCTTGGTTTCCTCATTTGCAAATAGGGACAGCCGTGGCCCCAGGGGGGAGTGTCATGGCAAATGTGAAAGGGCCTGGCAAACGGGGAGGCTTGTACGAAGTGACTGGTAATAAGCCAGGCGGGGGTGAGGGCCCAGGAAGCAGCTCATTAAACAGGAGGCCAAGAGGGTCCGCAGCTCTGGAGGGTTAGGGTGAGAGAGAAAGAGGGAGGGAGGGAGGGAGGGAAGGAGGAGGAAAGACGGGAAGATCTGTGAGCCTGAGCTGCCCACTGGGCAAGTGGGAGGCGCACATGTGTGTCTTTGTGTGTGTGCGTGTGCGTGTGTATGTTTATGAGTGTGTGTGTGGTTTGCATGTATGTGTTTATGTGTGCGTGTGTGTGTGTGCTTGGCATTCAGTGGGGACAGAGGGAGCTTCTACTGGCAGAGCTTTACTGGAGGCCCCAGTACCCAGGGATGAAATTCACCTCTGTCCTAGGAGCTTGGGTTCCTTCTCTTAGCGCCCCCTGCAGGCCCCTCCATGAGTAGGGCAGATTAGAGCTTCCAGGCAGGGAAGGTATGGAGCCGGCAGGGCGAGGAGATGGAGTGGGTGTCTGGGAAGACTGGATGTTTGTGGAGAGAAGGGAAAGGAAAGAGGCAGGAAGCTGCAGACCAAGACACTCATGTCGCCTGCCTGTGTCCCTTGCCTCCTGGTGTCCGTAGGCCCTTCTCCTCCTGGGACTGAACCCCGTCTCCGCCTCCCTCCAGGACCAGCACTGCGAGAGTCTGTCCCCGGCCAGCAATGTCTCTGGTGAGTACCCGCACCTGCAAGATCGCAGCGCTCCACATGCCCGTCCCCCGGGCCTCCGGGGCCTGCACACAGGACCGTGTGCTAAGTCAAAAGAGCAGCTCGTTTCCTCCCCGAGATCCAAGCAGTTCTTCAAGTCTCCACAGAGTGCTGTGTTGAGAAGGACCCTGAAGTTGCACGTGAGTGTGGTGGGGAAGACAGCTGCATTAACTAAGAGTGTGTGCCGTGGGCACGGGGGCACACAGCAAGCAGGCTGAGTGGTTCTTTCCCCGCGTTAGAGAGGGCAGCAGGGCAAGGCACCCAGCCCTCACGGCTACACCACAGCGGGTGACGACAAAAGCCTGATTTCTGCTATTAAAATGCCCCAAGTCAATACTACATAGCACTAGCCATGTGCCAGGCGTTGTTCGAGGAATCCGAGGTATAGTAACCCAGTCTGCATACACGTCAGCCCTCTGCGGTGTCATAAGGAAACTGAGGCTCAGACAACAGGGAGTGCTGGAACCTTGAGCTGAGCACAGGCAGCCTGGCTTCCAGATCTGCTTTCCAACCCTGTGCTCCATCCTCAATAGAAAAGACTATAAAAACAAATAGGTCTAGTACCTGCGTAATGCTGCCGTTTACAGAATCCTCGTAAATCACCTTGTCTCATCCTCACAAGAACTTAAAACCCAACATTTGTATAGACTGAGAAACCGAGGCACAGAAGAGTTACAGAACTCCCTCAGGACCCCACAGCCAGTATGTGGCAGTGCTGGGACTCAAATCCAGGTCTCTGGGCTCACAGGACCATGTCTTTTCTAATGCTGCATGGGGTCCTGGGGTGGCTGCTGCCGAGTACAAATGGATGGGGCCCCCTGCACCTTGAGGGTGTCTGGGAGGCTCACTGTCTATTAGTGATTTTCCCTCTTCAAGTCTCTGCTTGATTCACTCCTACGCATTCACCGAGGCCCTGGGAGAACAAAGACGGCTTCACAGTCTGGTCCAGGAGTCAAGTCCACAAATGCGTGTACGTGAGACAGCGCGAGGCAGGTGCTAGCAGAGAAAGCGATGCAGCATGTCAGCAGGGGCCTTTGGAGAGAGGAGGCTCCCGTAGCTCTGAGCACCTGCCACCTGGCCTGCTGCTCCTTCCCTAGGGAGGGCCTGCGAGGAGAGGAATGAGCAGGGGCTTGGAGAGGGCAGGCTGGAGTCTGGCTGGCCCCTAGTGGAAGCGCAGTCATCCTCACAGGTGTGTGTCGGGGGGATGAGCACATCCTTAACCTCACTGAAGCCTGACTTTGCCCAACTGTAAAGTGAGGCGGGGGATGAGTCCTGCCTGGAAGATGTTTTGAAAGTAAGTACACGGGATTCTATGGCAGGGCTTCTCAAGCTGTAGTGGGCCCATGTCGCTGTGGGCTATTTCTACGGTTGACAACATCAGCAGGCTTTGAAAGTTCTTCCTGTCCAGCTAGAATGAGAGCAGGTACTTGCCACGAGTCACTCCCTACTGTGGAGGTGGCAGGGAGGTTAAGACGGGGATGGTATAAATCTAAGAAGGCCTCTGAAGGAGGAGGTTTCAAGGTGCATCCTACAAAAGACTGAATGTGGACTGGCAGAGAAGAGCCTGTGCTCTGAGCCCAAGTGAAAGTCAATCAAGGACCTGTAGATGGCTTTGCAGAACGATGGGGAAGGGGTGAGGAGAAGAGTGAGAAGCCTGGAGAGGTGCAGGGAGCCGGGAGCTTCTGGCTGCCCCGTTGGCTAAGCAGAGCCATGGGGAATGGGGAAGTGGGTTCTCCAGACAGCAAGAGTTGAGTTCCAGCAGAGAGAGATGTGGGGGGACCTGCACAGAGTCTGGGCCTGAGAGGAGAGGCCCTGCCCCTGGTGCCCTCGGGTCAGGTCAGGCCCCATTAGCTCGTTTGTTGTGCTCAGGAGTGACATCCTGAGCCCACGCAGGTGTCACCTGTCCTTGGAGGCAGCAGGTTGTGATGAATGGCATTCATTCCCCGGTGATTGGACGCTGTGCCCCACCCCCGGCCTGGCCTGGCCTGCCTGGCGTCATGGCATGCGATCCATCACTCTCCCCACGGCCCCTGATAATGGCCATTTGTCTTCTGACACGGAGACCTACCCAGACCGATGGGCATTGGTGGAGACAGATGGTGAAGGTAGGGTGGAGGGCCGGGACAGATGGATGGGCGTCTGGCCGGGACTACTGGCACTGAGCCGGGGCCACTGGGTGCCTTCGTGTGCCTCATGCCAGGAGCAGAGAGAAAAGGTGAGTCCCCAGGGCTGGGGCCCCATCGTGTGGCAGATCACAGACCTGGCATCTCAGAATCACAGCCTGAGTATGACAACGCCAGACACAGAATGGACTGACATCTCAGCCAAATGCGTTCAGAGGGCCGCGAGGTCGTCAGCCACCACCCCGGTGGCACATGGCAATAATTTCCAATGCCGATTTTATTTAGTGCCCACTGTGTGCTGGATGCCGAGGCGAATGCTGTCATCTCATTCAGTCGTCACGATAAAGTCAGGAAGTAGCTGCAGCACCATTTTATAGAAGAGGAACATGAAGCTCAGAGAGGTTAAGTAACTTGCCCAAGCACACACAGTTACCAAGCAGTGGCCCCAAGATTTAAACCAAGGGGTCCTGATTTCAGACTTTACCCCCAGCACCATATTATGTGGCCACCAAGAGAGCCACGTGCCCAAGGCCCAGCGTAGCCGGTCGTTCGGGGTGCGGTGCTACCCTACAGTTTCCCAGACCCCTGTTGGGTTTGCGTATGGCCCCATATTCTCCTTGCTCTGTGCCTGGCACTGTGCTAGGTGCTGGGAATGCAGAAAACCGCAGACGAGAGGCTCCCACCACTTGTCCCAACGCAGCGCGTGCCCTATGGAGCCATCTCCTGTCCCCAGCCAAAGAGGAGGCAGCTCATCCACAAAGGTGCCGAGTGAGGACGAGGACTCTGTCTGCCCCCTGCCACCCATCCATGCCAGGCAGCCCACCCCTTGCCCATCACCCCCGCGGCACATTCTTCTGAAGGGCAAGAGTGTTTTGAGGGCCACCCTCGGCCACCTGGCTGCTCCCCTCGGGGCAGCCATGGCTGAGTCCTCCTCCCATGTAAAACCAAACAGCGGTAAGCTTCCCGGCCCAGCACTGCTGTCCAACCTGTGGCTGCGGCCTGCCTCCTTGCGACTCATTCAGAAGCCCCTGACAGAGACCCCACGTAACTCTCGTAGTGAGGACAGGAGCCAGATCCTGCTGCAGGACCTACCCTGGAAGGATCTGCTAGCCTCTCCTAAGTCCTGATGGAAAGGGAACTGTGTCACCTGCTTGGGGGAAGAAACCAGTGTCCCATGGTGCGCAAGCATTAAATAGGCCACCTTCAAAGGTTCTCATCTGTTTACTAAAGCAGGCCCCCCAGGACCCACCTGGACAGGGCAGGTTTCCGAGGCGGTAGAAGCCCTCCACGCTGCTCTCCTCTTCTCCCCCCATCCACAGTGTTTGGGGCCGCCTGGCCACAGAGTTCATGATCAGTCAGAGGGGGACCCCCGTGCAAGCTCTGTGCCCGTGTGGGGCAGAAGGAGGACGGCCAGTTTCATGGATTACGTTAGCATCCCCCCAGTGAAGGCCCAAGGTGACCAGAGCTGGTGAGTGGGTTGATGCCACCCCACCCCTTCCCAGGCAAGACCCTGAAGGGGTGTAGATGCCCTATGAGTGACGGGGTGAGCCACTGAGGGAGAGGAATGTCACTATCTCAGACACGCCAAGCACACACCTGCCTCAGGGCCTTCATACTTGCTGTTCCCCCTTCCTAGAACACTGTTCTCTGGGTACATATGACACAAGCACATGGCTCCTCCCCTCATTTCCTGCAGGTCTCTGCTTAAATAATAGTCGTTTAGCGATCACCAGAGTATCCTAGCGTCAGCCTTTATTTCCTCACTCTTAGTTTCTTTCCGTTATACTTCTCGCTGGATAACAGATAGGTTTGCGTACTGTCTCCCCATTAGGATGTAAGAAGGCAAGGCATTTGTTTGGTTCATTACTATATCCCCACCCCCAGAATATTTCATAGGTGGTCAGTAAACACGTGCTGAATAGAGGTCAGTGTTCCTCCCCAACTATACCTTAACTGACCAGGAGGGGCGCTGTGGGGACAATGCTCTCTGGCCAGGAGCAGCTCAGCCTTTGTGCTGCTGGCTGGCTGGTAAATTGCATTATTTACAAGGCTGGCTTACTGTTCATCACCCCAGAACCATGATATTCGGGTGGAAAAATACCTCCCAGGAGGGCAGAAGAGGTGGGATATTTGTGACAGTGGGACCTGGAGGGGACATTGTCCAAAATTCAGAGCCCTGTAGCCCTGACCTTGAGGTCCTTAGAGTCACCAGACTGGGTGGCCCAGTCTCCTTTCCTGCTTTCTACCGTCCCAGCTAGGGGATCGACATCCTCCCTAGCAGTCCCCAGGACCTGTGAAATTATCTTTCTCTGTACCTCTTTCTCATGGCTGTCCACCTGTCTGTCCCTGCTTTATCCTCGGTGTCTTCTTGTCTCCATTTGCTTTCCCCACCCCCTTGCCCATTTCGCTCCCCCACCCCACCCCCTTTACTCCCCAAAGAGTAGCAGAGTGGACTGAGTGTCACACATATATTGATGCAAAACTCCTTTTGTGGGACCAGCAGTTGGCATAATGGCTATGTCTCTGGGCTCTCATGTAATCCACCGCGGTTCGAGTCCTGGGCCCAGCGGCTTAAATTCATGCCAGATGTGTGTGTGTGCGTGCCCAAGATCCCAAGAGGAGAATGGAGGAGAAGGCGGCATGGCCATCCCCCCGGGGGGTGGGGAGTGATTTCTCACTTTCTGTCTCTCTATCTCTCTCTTTCTGGTGAGCCTATCTCCCTCTTTCGGGTGAGCGCACACCATCCTATAGCAAAAAAAAAACTCTCAAAAAACAAACAAACAAACAAACAAAAACAAAAAACTCCCTTCGTGCTGCCTGGTATGTAACTGTTCAGCAAATGTAGGTTCGCCTTCTCCCCAAGGAATATACACCGGTGTGCCTTCCGAGGCGCTCTCTGCTGGATCCCCAGGGACCCTATTCTCCTCCTTCCTTGTCTGTTGTCCCCAGGGCAGTGAGCTGACCTGTGCCCAAGCTGCAAACGCACAGGCCAGGAAGTCTAATGGGCAGCACCCACTTGCCAGGAACACCTGGGTCCCTGTCCTGCTGCCTCCTCCCTGCCCCCCCCCTTCTTTGCTATGACTCTAAGTCCACCTCCCTCCTCCACCTGCTGCCTAAAACCACACGGCCAATCCCAAGAGCGCATTTGGCAGGTAATTTCATGTTTGAGCCCCGCCACTCTCCTGCTTGGTCCTCAAACCTGTGGTCACACCCCCCCAGGCTCCACTCCTCTTTGGACCCCTCCCACCCAGGTCCAATCCCTGTGGTAGGCGTCTAAGCGGGCTTTCACTCTGGACGAGGCAGGGACTGTGTCCTGACCCCTTTATTGGGCTTCTGGTCTCCGTTCTTGTAGCCTCTCCTTCTGTTTCTTTCTGTCTCTCACACATACTCATTCCTCCAGGATTTTCTAAGCTCTTGATGTAAATGTCGGGTCTGTGACTGTGTTCCCTGGCACTGCCTCCAGGCAGCCCTCAGTGAGCTGTGGCGCCAGAAGAACGTTGGGAAGCCCCAGGCTGCAGAGGAAGCTGGAAGCACAGAGAAGGTGCAAACTGGGCGACCAGCTGTGGTGAAGGGGGCCAGCTCAGGGCTGACCTCAAACAGGCCAAAATCCACTTCTGCCTCTTCTTTCTCTGGGTGAACCATTCACTGGTCCTCAGTTTCCTTATTTGTAAAATAGGGAATTAGCACTCACACTGGCAAGTGATGTGAGACCCACAGTGGGTGCTCAGAATCTACACCACAGACTGGAGGCAAACTCCCCCCAACACAGCGGTATTTGAGAGCAGCTGGGGGCTTTAGCTTTAGTGTCCTGGGTGTGGGCTAGTGCAGGGTCTTCCAGGCCAGGAGGTCCATAAGCTGGCTGGGGTCCTGCCCTGCCA